GATAACAACATTCAGTTGTCTAAAGAACCACTCCCATGAATCATGATTCTCTGAATCAACAACTCCAAATGCGATCGGATACAAATTGGAGTTACCATCTACAGCTGTAGCCACAAGTAGAACTCCTTTATATTTATTTTTCAGAAAAGTTCCATCAACAACAATCACCTTGCGAATGCCATTGTAGAATCCTCTAACTCATTGCCCAAACGAGAGAAACAGATACTTGAATCTCCCTTCCTTAGTGGTTTCATAGTGAGTATGCGTACCAGGATTAGCTTCTTTAAGCATATACAAATATTTTGGTATTTTTGCATAACTTTCATCAGGTATACCTCTAACTGCTGCAATTGCAAACTCACGAGCTTCCCACGCGTGCCAATAACTAATCTCACAACTATGCTCCAGGCGCATATACTGGACTATGTCATTCGTTTTTGGTCCTTCATGGGGATCCTAAAATCTATGTTGTATCAAACTCCCTATTGTTCTTGCTGACGCCTTTTTCCCAAATTTGCTTCTCTTAGAGGGCGCACATGAATGAATTGCCACACACTTGTTGATCATGAAGTATGTAGACCCATCTAGACATTGCGCACGCACAGTCCAATTACATATTGAATCTTTACATCGAATATACCACCATTTTCTCGTCGATTTGAGAACAACATAATCGAAATTATTGTTCATCGCCCAAATTTCAGCTGTGGCCTTTAGGACAGCTTTACTTCTGAATATTTGATCCTTCGTCACAAAAACATTTCGCGAAGATCGGCAATCCGTATCACCATCTCCATTGTTTTCACTCGTTAAACCAGCATCACCGGAACCATCTTCAGCGACACGCTTCTTCTCAGAAGAAACAGTTGACATTTTGACAAAGTCTCCTCGATTATTTTGAAGAATTTCTTCATCCTCAACATTACTTGAGTCACACGGTTCCTTATTCAAATCAAAATTGAATCGTTCCTTTTCTTTTGCAGCAGTACTAGAGATGGTGACACACAAGGTTGTAGAAGAACCCTTCTTCGCATACATCACAAAATTAGATAGTTGTCGATCATTGCTGATTATAATAGGAGGATTCCCTCTTTGATTCAACATCTCATAACTGAACTCAACGTTAACGAGCATATGGTCGACCCCATAATCCTCACACACCATGATTTTGAGTTCCTCCAACAGAGTTTTAGTTTCTATAGTTACCAATCGACCACGCCTTTCCTTGTCTGCCAAGAAACTCCATTGATCACTGCAACTTGACATCCATACACCAGATGTAACATAGATTAGAACCATGTTGTTTGATAGATAGAAGAGGTTATGTCGATGAGGAAAAGAGAGAGACAAAGAAGAGAACGAGGGAGAGAAAGATCGTGAGAGAGAATCGTGGGAGAGAATATTTTTTGAAAGATTTTTGTTAGATTTGGTGTAGATTTAGGTAAGTTATTTTTCGAAATATGGAAGTTTCCATATTTACTCGATTTAGCTATAATATGTAATGTACGTTAAGCAGAGTAATGAAGGGATGGTCGGTTGTTTATTCTCCCTTAGAGCTATGATAATGTAAAAGGTAGACCAAGTTATAACACATAATCCACACTGGGTAGACCTTAGAGTCGTGGTTATAAGTGGGCGATATGCGTAAAATAGATTACAGACATCTGGTTAGAATACTTTTTCAAGAAATCTACCGAAGGTACAATACAGAAGAATGTTTTGTTTTTGTTCTGTACCTAAGCTACATCTGTGTGTAAAACCTACTATCTGATTCCTAAATGAAGTAGATAGCTAGAATGAGTAATCTATCCTTGCTATAACATTAAATAAAACATGAGTCCATAATTTTTTTAATAAAAATTTAGACATATAAATACTCATACTAATGTTTACTAACACTTATATATTTTTTATATTTTTAAAACTTAGTTTACTATTTTTTCTATTACACAAGGGTAAAATATGTCCAATTTGTCCAAAAATATCAAAAGTCCCATTTGGCCAAATAAATATTCAAAGTGTCTCATTTTTCCAATTCTCTCTTAAAAAAATCTACAGCAAAAAAAATTCAAAACCACAACTAAAAATCTAAAGCATAAATCTTAAATAAAAAACACAAATCCACAGGTTCAACCAATCAAACCCATATTTAGGTGTTTTTGGTACTTCAGATATTTTTAAGTTTCAAGTTCGAGTCTTCATGGAATAGTTTTGGGTCTCGAATACAATTTTTATTTTCAAAACATAATTAAAAAATGTAGGTATTTTCGGGCTTTTTGATCAGATTTTGAGTAAATTTTTGGGTATTTCTGAGGTTTTTTTTTGAGTTGTCGGATGTTCGGGGTTTAAAGTTCAGTTCGCGTACCTTAAGTTCTTTTTGAGTCCTATATACTTGAACTGTTTCCCGAAACATATCCAAAAATTCCGGATATTGAAATTATAGATCTGAATCTACCTAGATTTGAAAAGAGTCGATCCATATCTGACAGGAACTAACCCAAATCAAAAATTTCTAACTACCTAGTTGAATCCAAATATCTGAAATCCAAAAGACCCGAACCCCAACGTAACTGATCCAAATTCGACCCAAGGACCCAATTTCTCATGCCTAACTCGTCGTTAGGGGTGGAAATTTTACCCGATACCCAAACTCGTACCCGAGTCCGACTCAAAAGATCTGGATAAAATCCGAACTGAAGTAACAAAATATCCGAACGAATATTGAGTTAGGAGAGATTGGATATCCGAACTCCAAACAGGTGATACCTAAACCGAATGGATATCCGAAGATAACCGAACATATGTAACTATACATTTATTCCTAGTTTATTTTTCTCTTTTGATTAAAAATATTTAAATTAATGTTGTGGCTTAATATCAGAGAATATCTTTATAACTGTTCAAAAACAATCTACTCATTTTAAGTACATGTTAAGCTTCGTATTTCATGTTTTAACAAGTGTTGCATCCAAAATTTAAAAATAACAACCAAATAAATGATTTTCTATTTTCAATAATTTATTTTCGAACTTATTAATTTCTAACCTAATAAATATTTAAAAAAAGTTAAGTTAATAGTAAAATTTTAAAATACATGAAACTTGAGTAATATGAAGAACTTTAATTATTTTTTTTCAAAATCTAAATACCCAAAATCCGACTTAAAATAGTCGAATCCGAACTAAAAATATCCGAACGCGATCCCATATATTAGAATATCCAAACAGATACTAAATCTCAATTGAAATATTCAAAAACCTGAAATATCCGATTCGAACCCGAACCGGTATCGAAAGGACCACCGCTACTCGTCGTTATAATGGAAAAGGTGATGAGATAGAGAAAAAAAACATTTGAGTGAAAGTCCATCCACCTAATGTGGTATATCATTTGGGCTGTGAGTTAAATAAAATATGATGGGCTTGGCGCCCAACTAAGAAATAAGATGTTCATGCTTCATTCACCTATCGTGGTCTGTAGAGAGATTGAGGAGGGGCGTGGTTACCTCATTCAATTTCGGCTTTTTCTCCAAACCCTAATTAGCTCCAAGTTTCAATTTTTGATGAGTTTTGTCGGTCATGTGAAAAAAGAGTGAAGCCCTTTTCATTTACTTGTTACCAAATTTCTGAAATCTTGTTTTCGTCTGATGGGTTCGGAGAATCATGTAGTTGTGGATGTTAGTTCAGACGAGGAGGTCGATCCGCGTGGCGACAGAGACTACTTGAACTGGCTAAACAAGGTTGTTGATGTCACATCCGACAGCACCGATCTTGTCAGCCTTGATTCTCAGCTAAATTCTTCGACTCAAGCGGCTTTGGAAGATGACGACGACGACGACGATGATTGTGTGATTCTGGACTGTGATTCCGACAAGACAAGTGCTGCATTTGAATCTAAAGCTGATGATGATGATAACGACGAGGTGCTTGTAGTGGGGCAAAAGGGTGAGGTATTGAGTTCCGAATCCCCCTCAATTTCTATTAAAAAAAAGAGAGTCTTGTTTAGTGAGATTCTGTTTGCCATGTTCTTATTTACCTAGCTTATGAAGATTGTTAACTTTACCAGTATAAGATTTTGAATTCCTTGTTTAGCAGAAGATATTTGTTTAGATATTTTCTTAGTTAAACTATTTTGGAGGATGATCATTAAACTGTTTTGTGTAATTATTTTTTAATCATTGCACTTTTTTGATGTGTTGTATACTAAGTTTTCCCCCTGATATCTAAAAGCCAAAACATTTTGTTTTGTAGAAAGCGTGTAGAGATTTCCCTCATCCCCGACATTCGTGTGCTAAGTACTCCTTCAACTCAACATCACATGAGAGTTACTGCGACATGGTAAGCATCTACAAGTTTCTCTAATGCTTTAACGGATTATTTTCCCGGCTAATCCTTTTATTTATTTATTTATTTTCACTTTGAAGTGTCACTGTTATGTGTGTGACATCCCTGCTCCTTGCCCATACTGGTGTGTCCCTGTCTCCAGCCTAAATCATTGTCATGCTAATGATAAAGACAAGACTTGGATGAATCAACGCGAGTACTTCAGGACTGGAATATTTCCCACTCAACCAGCTCATGCTACAGTGTCTCCGCCTCAGAGTATCATCCGGTTATCCCAAAACCCTTCTCCAACGAATAAGATTGAGATCCGCCCTTGCTCCAACCGTGTTGCTGCTAATCTCTCAAACGTCAGAGGCCATAGAGTCAGGCAATCGGCTCCACGGAATCATGGGTTGCAATCATTGAGCAAAACGTCATCCAAAAGGATAGAAGCTCTTATATGGGTCACTTAAGGTCAGGAACTCGGAATGGTAACAACAACATCAAGGTGGGTCTCTGTACTAATGCTAAAGTTTCACGACCCACTCACCATAATCCTTCACCAACAATAAACCCAGAAATGCACATTCAACAACGCAGTTGTCAGCTCAACGTTACTGCAACAGCGGTGACCGGACCTCAGAGCAATGCTGATTTGTTTGGTTTACCTGAGTGGGGTCCACAAGCGGAGACAGTTCCACAACATGAAAACGTCTTGCTGTCGGAAGTTGAGAGCTGGCTGATGGACAGTTGTAACCAAGCAGGGTTGGTTATCCCGTTGCCTGAACCGTTAGCTCAAGACAATGTGACATTCGATTTTGAAACCTTCCTGAATGATTGAAACATTGCTGTAGTTTGAATCTTCTTTGGCTTTCCGGATGTAGTATTGTAGGGTGATGTTTTAGATAATGAATCACCATTGTTAGCTGTTATTATAACTAAGGCGTGTTTATTACTATCTAACCAAAGTGCCAATGTTGCAAGTGAAGAGAAATATAGTCTTCTTAGACTTGGTTTGTTCGGTTTAATAATTAACCAAACAGTTCATCAGAGCAAAATTCAGCAAGGCCCATGGAGAGCCCAATAAAGGTCAGAGTCAGAAAAAAAAAAGAAACAGTTTAGACGGATGTTGCGGTAGGCAAACGGCCACCAATTTTGTCTTTTTGGAGAAGCATGGAAACGACGCGCATGAGAGAGCGCGTTGGTGCATAATCATCGCTTTCAAGTGGGAAGCAGAGTCTCACTACGGCAACACACTACCCTACGCCTCTTTCCCCCACACCACCATCAGAATTTAATTCTCTCTCTCTCTCTCTTTCTTCGCTTCTTCTGCTTTGAAATCACTTTACTCTCTCTCTCTCTCAATCACTCTGTTTACCTTCATCGGAGAAGCTCTAGTTTCTTCTCTCTCTACTCTCAACGTTCGACTCTGTATTCCGGTGTGTGCAGATCTCGAGAGCCGCATTTCATGGATCTATCTAAATTGCGTTAAACCCACTCGACCCCTAGGGTTTTGGAGAAATTTAATATCTGCGAAGTTATGTTTAGAAGTTTGATTCTGGACGATACGCTTCGTTTTGATTCTTTGAGTAAACGAAGAGCCTTTGGAGTGGAGGCAGAGGAGGTTTGGTGTCTTTGTTGCTGACGAATGGTGTATCGATAAAAGATGCGGAACTTTGCCATGCTTCTGATCCTAATTCATTCTCTCGCCTCCTTTCCCTTATGCTTCGGTATCTATATATATTCTTCCTTTTTCCATATCTTTGCTTGGTGCAAAACAAAAGATTAGGAAGCGACTGCGAAAGGAAAAATGATCTAACATTAGCTATGTTTTATTTTTTCCCTCTTACTTGCTTGACAGCTGAAGATGAGCTATATTTAGAATTGTTTATTTAAATGAGCTATCTTTATTATTATTTATTTATTAGAGTAGTATAAATTAAGCAAAAAAAGGGTTTTAGTTTTATGATTCTGAGTTTTGGAGTCTGGAATCTGTCAAGCATGAGAATGACGTTAATTTCACACCTTTTCTGCCTTATTTGGCACCCTACTAAGAAGATACTGACACACATATATAGAGCTTACTTCTCTCTTCTTGAGTATCTCTTCAAAACATTCTATTGGCAAACAATGTAGTCTTTAACTTAGGCTTGACATGTATTGATAATAATTTGTCTGTTGATGGATGACTTAATCAGCTTGCTTTATCACTTGCAGCTAGGCTATTTCCTATGAGCTTGCTATTTAGCCGGTCAAAATCCCAACAAATGCACTTTTCTCATCCTCATCTTAATTCTTTTGTCGCTCCTACACCTTCACCAGGTCAGCAAAGGAAATACTTTTAGTATTTTTCTAGTGCAATTAGTCAATGCTCCTTTTCTTTCTATTTTCAGCTTTTCCTCCCAACCCAAGCCACATTACGACACCAAGACACATGGGTCATCACCATCATCGTCGTTGGCACTTAACACGCAACGTCACTGCAGTTTCACCTTCCTCGCATGGTAATCCTTTTGCTATGTGTTGATTATCTTGCGTCCCTATTGCTAGTGCCAATGCAATCCTTTTCTTTTTTGAATAAGATCTAATATTATTGATTTGGACTTCAATCGATGCATAAATAAGTAGTAGTAATTACTCATTTCTGTGTGTTCCTGCTTTGTCCTTTTTCGATAGACTGTCAACAGACATGCATGGAGCCTCTTACTTCAACTCCCTTTGGCTCACCTTGTGGTTGTGTTTACCACATGAAAGTCCAGCTTCTGCTAAGTGTCGCGCCTATTTCTATTTTCCCCGTCACCAGCGAGTTAGAAATTGAGGTTGCTGCTGGAACATACTTGGAACAAAGCCAAGTGAAAATAATGGGTGCTAGTGCCGACAGTGAGAATCAAGGGAAAACAGTGGTGGATATTAACCTTGTTCCACTTGGGGAAAAATTCGACAATACTACGGCCACCCTTATTTACCAAAGGTTCCGCCACAAGAAAGTGCCTCTAAATGAGTCTGTGTTTGGTGATTATGAGGTTACCCACATAAGTTACCCAGGTAAACTGATATTCTTTGTAACACAAGTTTCTACCCTTTCTTTGTTATTCATTCTCTTTAAACTTGTTAACTTCGCTTCAGGTACTCCTTCATCATATGGAGACATTGTGGAGGGTGTTCCAAGTGCAAGTACTGGAGGGCTTCCAGTCACTGCAATCTTTGCCAACAAACGCCAGGGAATAGGTTTTAGAACGATTGCAATCATTGTCTTGTCAGGTTTCGTGCTCGCTCTGGTTTTAGCTGGAGCTATATTTATAGTCAGGACATAGAATGAAGTTGGGAGGTCATCCACTGCTGTTGGCCCTGCATTGGCTCCATCAATAAACAAAAGGCTCGGTAAATTCTCCCTCTGACTATGTAAAACTACTTGCTCTTGTAGCGTTAAACCACATGGTGAATTCCTTGCATTAATCTGTTTCTGAATCCTTCACACACTTTGCAGGTGCTGGATCTATGTTTTCCAGTAGCGTCAGGAGCTTGGGATCAGATTCGCTGATGTCTTTGATGGCTACATGTGCTTTATCCGTTAAGACCTTCACACTTTCCGAGCTCGAGAAGGCAACGGATAAATTTAGTGCCAAGAGGGCTTTGCGCGAGGGAGGATTTGGTCGTGTTTATCAGGGTAGCATGGAAGATGGAACGGAGATTGCCGTTAAACTGCTAACTAGGGACAATCAGAATCGAGACCGTGAATTTATTGCAGAAGTGGAGATGCTAAGCCATTTGGACCACAGCAATCTTGTGAAACTGATCGGAATATGCATTGAAGGCCGTACACGCTGCTTGGTTACGAGCTCGTCCACAATGGGAGTATCGAGTCCCACTTACACGGTGACATTCTCTAATCCTCTGCACATTTTAGCAACCATATTTATATCTGTCACTTCTCGTTGTATCACCTTCTAAAGCCTGTTTTTCCCGGTGTAAACAAAATAGAAGGAACGCTTGACTGGGATGCGCGGTTGAAGATTGCACTCGGAGCAGCAAGAGGACTGGCCTATCTCCATGAAGATTCGAATCCCCGAGTAATCCACCGGGATTTCAAGGCCAGCAATGTTCTCCTGGAAGATGACTTTACCCCAAAGGTCTCAGACTTTGGAATGGGGAGAGGAGCTACCGAAGGAAGTCAACATATTTCCACTCGAGTCATGGGGACCTTTGGGTAAACCTTTTTTTCTACTTGTCTTGCTGTGAATACCCATCCTCAATGGTTAAGTGATGAAAACAGATACTATGGTTAAATATTGAGCTGATAATGGATATAACTGCAGGTATGTGGCCCCTGAATATGCAATGACGGGGCATCTACTTGTGAAAAGCGATGACTATAGTTACGCTGTGGTTCTACTTGAGCTTCTCACCGGTAGAAAACCGGTAGACATGTCTCAACCTTCGGGAGAAGAAAACCTTGTGACGTGGGCGAGACCTTCACTAGCAAACAGAGAGGGGCTGGAGCAACTGGTTGACCCCAGATTGGCCGGAACCTACGACTTTGATGATATGGCGAAAGTGGCTGCGATTGCTTCCATGTGCGTCCACCAAGAGGTCTCGAACATACCGTTTATGGGTGAAGTGGTGCAGGCATTGAAACTTATATACAACGATGCACATGAGACATGTGGTGGGGACTATTGCAGCTGATATGCTCAAATTAACCTTCAAGCTACTCTCTCAAATAAGAGGTTCAATGTAGTACTTGAGGATCGAATCCACAGAGACCAAATTTTACATTTTATTATTATAGGATCAATATTAAGCTAAAACAATATGGGGTTTTAAAATAAAGAAAACGTAAAAAGCAAGTAACAAGTTGATTTGGGTTTCAGATTAAAGAGAATGCTAGCCTAGGGTGAAGGATCGGGTATCAAACGATCATGAGCTAAATATCTATTCAAGGTTTTATTAAGCACAAGTCTAGAACTCAAAAGACAAATAAAGATTGACCCACTCTCGTGGTATCTCCCCTTTTAACAATCAGCCTTAATACCTAAACTCTCGTTTGGACTAAAACATGAAAGCAAACATTAAGATCAGATTCGATAAGTTCACAGCACGCCCTAACATCTACTTTCGCTGGTTAGGGACGTACTGCCCATTCAAGTTATTTCTAGCAACCTAAAACACTTTTGATGAATAGATTAAACCTAGAATCAAGCACTAAGTAGCTAGTTTAATGCAGGCAATAAGTATGAACATGAATGGAGACAATCAATTAATGAACCTTATTTGTATTTAGCTCATAGATCTAAACACCCTAACACCCTAGACTAAGCAAGCTGACTACTCAGCCATGAACAGAGAAAACACAGAGATTAGAGATGAAGAAAATATGTGTGAATCAATAAATAATAAGCAAGAGGGTTCAGAAATCTTCTCCAAAGGTTGTAGAGATTCTTCTCCCTCAAAGTTACAAAGTATGAAATCCAAAGCTCTAGAGTTGTTTCTCTGTAAAAAGTAGCGTAGTATAATGTAGAAAATAGGAAAAGAAGATGTATGGAGGCTGCTGGCGGCTGGGAGAGAAAAAATAGGAGAATTAGGGTAAATCCCGAAATATGTTGTATTTCCTTAAAAATCTCTGCCGCAGGAACAGCTGTTCCGCGAGACTGTTCCGCGTCAAAATTCCCAAATTGCACTCTTTTTCTGCCTCTTTCACTCCATAGCAACTCCATACCTGTAGTAACTTAAAAAGGACTAAAAAGACTCGATAAAGACTCAAAAAACACTTTAGAAAACATTATTAGAATATGCTAAAAACACCATATATCAATTCCCCCAGACTTAGATCCTTGTTTGTCCTCAAACAATGTCAAGTATCAAGAACAGGGAGAAAGGTTTGAAAGTGTGGAAACTCTCTTATTGTCATCAACCATACTTTAACCACGAATCTCTGAACCATACAAGGAGTAAAACTAGGACAACACACCCTTACCAGAACCCCACTGACCGCTGTTCAAACCGGCTCCATACTCTGTATCTCAGATCTGCAAAAGTTACACCTTCCAGACAAAACTCCTTACATTCAAATAAGAGTGGTGTGAGCTTCTCATCATAGGCATTATCAAGGGTAAACGGTCTAGGTATGAAACAAGTCTTTTAAGTGTTTAAGTGGAGCTAATCAGTGTTTAGGGGTTACCATTTTCGTAGAGGATGCATGATATCGCGCAAAATTGCAAGAGAGGATAGATCCATTGATGTCCACAGCCCCTACTCGTTTTTTGCCTGCTCTCCCTCTTGCACAGTTGATCCGATCAAACGTCTGTTCTTCTTGTGGAACAGTCGATCATCTGCATGGTCTTTGTCTCTTCAACTTTTTGCACACCCTCTTTTACTCGAATTTCCCAATGGCTTCTGTCTATTTTGGAAATCTTCTCCTCCTCCATCACCTTATACTGATGAAAAGATTTTTTTTTTTTTTTTTTTTAAGATAACATTGGTGATGGTGACGAAGCAGGAGGTAACATTGGTGATTTTGACGTGCCACTGGACTTCTTGACTTTATACTCATTCTTGTTTCTTTTTGCCTTCTCTTCTCTTATGGTAGATCAATGGCGGCGGAGCAGTTGCTCCCTGGATTTCGCCTGTTATCTCGACAGAACACTCTGTAGCATCAACGAGTAAGAGACTGTGTCGATCCTTTCCTCTCCGGCCCTTTTGCACTTATCTGCACATAAAATACTAAAAAGCAAATGCATGAGGGCGGAATAAAGGCTTAGGGTTTCAAGGTGGGTACTAGCTAAAGATGAGCTAGCCACTCAGGATCAGCAAGATGGATAAAAAAGAATAAGAAGTCATGAGTGTTAATCACGTTAAACCCTAATCTAACGCCCATGACAAGAAGAATTATAGTCAAGATTAGGTTCAAGTTAAATGGAGTTAAGTCTTTCCAGAATAACCTCTACAAGCTGAAAGCTTCTGGAGAACAAGATGATGTAATGTCAGGGTGTTCCGGATCCACATGTGTCTCTGTCGCCACTGCTAAGGTCACTGAATAAGATAGCTAAAGCATGAGGGTGGTTAATAATCATCACAAAGTAAGGTCCTAATTCCCACAAAGTTTTGACTGGCTCAAACATAAAAACCAAAAGAAATAAAAGAGTTAGTAAACGACAAGGCCCTCCCCCAGACTTACTTCACAACGTCTCGATGTGAAAATAAATCAGAGAGAAAGTGTAAATAAATACATAAATATAAATATTTTTGGTTGAGATACTTACCTGCGTGAAACGGGCGTTCCACGAAAATTCTGGGTTCTCCATCGTCTGATCTCCGCCTGGAGCTGCCGTTCATTTCGAAGGGATAGCTGCTCCGCTTCTGAAACCCATAAATTTTTGAAGTATCTCGGGTTTTTCTGATTTTTGACCTGAGACTCAACAAACTAAAACCAAAAATAAGCAAAAAGAAAATCCTAATGATATTTACACTTACCAGTGGGTTGCCTCCCACCAAGCGCTTGGTTTAAGTCACTAGCTTGACTTGGTTATAGGGATCAGTCGGGTTGAGCATGAGCGCTTGCTCCAAAACAAGCTCCACAATCAGACATGTTCAGCTTCAATACTCTGCTCAACAACCCTTTTACAGCAGCTTCCCCTTTCTCTTTCAACTCATGTGTGAGGATAGATCTGACTTTAGAGAATGGTTTAGAGGTACCTTTGCACTTGACCTCATATTCAATGGAGTTCTCATCACACATGCGAGGTATCAAAGTCATTGTAGGACCACCCTTGATCCTTTTCTTCTGGACTTTTTCTTTTACCCTTGCATTCCCACGAAGTGTCTTGGTATCAGTGTGAGGATCTCCATCCAGGACTTCTTTGCTCTCGCTCTTTTCAACATGTTCTCTTATGCTGGAACAGTGCTCCTTCTCAGGAATGATTTTCAGCTGTTCTACACAAACCACTGAGATGCAAGAGGCGTATCGGATTTGTGACCTGGTTGGGACAGCCTTGTAGAAAGTCTTCTTGTTGATGTTGGAGAAGGAGACTCTCTTATTAGGTAGGTCGACGATTGCTCCCACTGTAGCCATAAATGACCTTCCAAAAATCAAAGGCATCTCATGATCTTTGCTCATCTCAACAATTTCAAATTCAGCATGCAAAATACAATCCCCAACTTGGACAGGAAGGTTGCGAATGGTGCCATAAGGGACTGCTCTGGAGGAGTTAGCAAAAGCCAGATTCACCTGAGAAGGCTCAACATCCACAATGCCCAACTCATCTACAATCGNACTTGGACAGGAAGGTTGCGAATGGTGCCATAAGGGACTGCTCTGGAGGAGTTAGCAAAAGCCAGATTCACCTGAGAAGGCTCAACATCCACAATGCCCAACTCATCTACAATCGCCTTTGAGACAAGATTCACACTAGACCCAGAGTCACAAAGAGATTCCTTAAATTCTACTCCAGCAATGGAACATGGAAAAAGAATTTTACCAGGGTCAGCAACCTTAGGCAAAACCTTCAGTGATGGCGTGGTCATTGCCTTGATATAGAGGGCTTTAATTTCCTCTTGAGTCTCTCTAATGTATGTGAAGAACGAATGCAATGGCCGGATCTGACGAGCATCTTCAAATGAGAGTTCTTTAGGAAGCTTCCTCACCATCTTATTAAAGCCTTCCAGCTCCTCTGCACTAATGGGATCCCTCAGATGTCTAGGTGGAATAGGATATGGGACCTTAGGAACATAGACTCGGAGTGGTGGAGTCTCATCGGATTCGCTAAGAGCAGTCATTCCAGAGCTAGCAGACTGCTTTGTCTTCTCTTCTGCGCCCAGAATAGTCTCTGCAAACGGTTGCTCTATTGCATTATAGTGCTCCGCCCTAGGATTTTTATCAGTTTTTCCATGGAGCGTCCCTTGTTGCCTCTTGACACTCTCAGCTGTTTGAGCAAGCTGAGCATCAATCCTCTTTATGTGGCTGCTCACAGTATCATATTTTGTGTTCAGCTCAATGAACATGTTGTCCATTCTGGTGTTGATCTCTGAGGTAACCTGATGCAATGCTTTTCCCTGAATCTGCTGTCCCTGCAACAGTTGCTGCATCATCATACCTAAACCTTGCAGCTCATCATGCGGACCACTGGTAGTAGCTGGAGCAGCCTGTTGGTTGCTCTGTGACTGTTGCTGGTGCTGATTCTGATTCTGACCCACAAACCGATCCTGTGCCTGACTGAAAACAAATGTTTTACCCTGAAAATTCTTAGGGAAGCCTTGCTGATACCTCGTACCATGTGCCTGGTTGTTCTGCGCATACCCATGTCCGTTGATGTAGTTGATCTCCTGCTGATTGTTCCCTTTCTTTCCAGCCTCAGGAGCAACCTCGTGACTGTTCTGAACCTGCTCAGCCGTAGCTTCCTCCATGATGTAGACTTGCCCGTGGTTGTTCTTAAGAAGCATATCAACCTTAGCTGTCAGCTCATCAATCTTGTGGGTGCCGACACTGTTCACTTCCTTGGAGCGATCGATCTCCTGAATCCTATTGGCTGAACTAGCAGCCATGTTCTCAATCAGCTCAAATGCTCCATCAGTGGTCTGAGTCATGAAGTCTCGATTGCTCGCAGAGTTTAGAACACTTTGGTATTCCCAATCCACACCATCATAGAAGATTCCTAGGATGTGGTCATTGTCAAACCCGTGATGAGGGCACTCTCTAAGGATGTCATTGAACCGTTCTCATGCTTCATTGAATGGCTCATTAGCAAGTTGCTTGAAAGATGAGATCTTGTTCCTGAGAGCAGCCGTTTTTGCCTTTGTGTAGAAATGGCCCAGAAAAGCCGCTCTGACCTGTTTCCAAGTAGTGAGGGAACCTGTAGGAAGTGACTTAAGCCATCTTGAAGCCTTGTCTTCTAGAGAAAACGGGAACAACATGCACTTGATGAAGTCAGGTGGAACACCGTTTGCACGAGTAAAGCTGCAAATCTCTTCAAAAGCCTCGATGTGTTCCATAGGTATCTCAGCTGGTAGTCCATGAAACGTCTTTCTCTGTACCAGGTTGATCATGGCAGGTTTGATCTCAAAGTCTTGCCTGGCACATGGTGGTGGAGCAATGGCAGAGCGCGTAGCAGGGATGTTACGCGGTAGGTTTCTCTGCCCGATCGGAGCAGTTTGCTCCGGCCGTTCCAGCTGCGCGAGAGCAGCCTGTTGAGCAGCATCCTGCTGAGCTTGGATGGTCTGCTGCATCTGTTGCATAGCAGCAGCAAGTTGTTCTGGAGTGCCGTAGTCGCCCATTGTGGCGTTGTTCGGCCTTTGTTGTTGTCGATTGGTTCTTTCTAACCTTGCTAGCTCCTGGTTGCTAAGTGTAACTAAATCTCCTTTTGCGTTGCTCCGAGTATGTCTACTGGTCATGCACCTGAAACATTAGCTGCAGCAAATAAGATAAGGCAAGTTAGAAGTTTTAGACTAAATAAATAACCAAAAAAAATAGAGGTAAAAAGATGGTCCCCGCCGCAACGGCGCCAAATTTGATATGCTCAAATTAACCTTCAAGCTACTCTCTCAAATAAGAGGTTCAATGTAGTACTTGATGATCGAATCCACAGAGACCAAATTTTACACTTTATTATTATAGGATCAATATTAAGTTAAAACAATATGGGGTTTTAAAATAAAGAAAACGTAAAAAGCAAGTAACAAGTTGATTTGGGTTTCAGATTAAAGAGAATGCTAGCCTAGGGTGAAGGATCGGGTATCAAACGATCATGAGCCAAACATCTATTCAAGGTTTTATTAAGCACAAGTCTAGAACTCAAAAGACAAATAAAGATTGACCCACTCTCGTGGTATCTCCCCTTTTAACAATCATCCTTAATACCTAAACTCTCGTTTGGACTAAAACATGAAAGCAAACATTAAGATCAGATTCGATAAGTTCACAGCACGCCCTAACATCTACTTTCGCTGGTTAGGGACGAACTGCCCATTCAAGTTATTTCTAGCAACCTAAAACACTTTTGATGAATAGATTAAACCTAGAATCAAGCACTAAGTAGCTAGTTTAATGCAGGCAATAAGTATGAACATGAATGGAGACAATCAATTAATGAACCTTATTTGTATTTAGCTCATAGATCTAAACACCCTAACACCCTAGACTAAGCAAGCTGACAACTCAGCCATGAACAGAGAAAACACAGAGATTAGAGATGAAGAAAACATGTGTGAATCAATAAATAATAAGCAAGAGGGTTCAGAAATCTTCTCCAAAGGTTGTAGAGATTCTTCTCCCTCAAAGTTACAAAGTATGAAATCCAAAGCTCTAGAGTTGTTTCTCTGTAAAAAGTAGCGTAGTATAATGTAGAAAATAGGAAAAGAAGATATATGGAGGCTGCTGGCGGCTGGGAGAGAAAAAATAGGAGAATTAGGGCAAATCCCGAAATATGTTGTATTTCCTTAAAAATCTCTGCCGCAGGAACAGCTGTTCCGCGAGACTGTTCCGCGTCAAAATTCCCAAATTGCACTCTTTTTCTGCCTCTTTCACTCCATAGCAACTCCATACCTGTAGTAACTTAAAAAGGACTAAAAAGACTCGATAAAGACTCAAAAAACACTTTAGAAAACATTGTTAGAATATGCTAAAAACACCATATATCAGCAGCCAGAAGGACTCTTCAGTGCCGGACTCTGCAGACTTCAAAGGCGATCCCTCGGATAGCAGCTGGTGGAATTTTACACCTCGGTTAAGGTACGGTCAAGGGTCTACGTTCATAACCATGGATTATAGCTCAGGACCGCTTGAGGAGATGGAGAACCGGCCCCACTCTGCATCTAGCATTCCTAGAGGAGGCATGTTTCTACCAAATAGGTCGGGTCCGTTACAGCCAGTTAGAAGTAGAAGAAACTTCTTTAGATTGAGAGGAAGCATGAGTGATCACGGTGGACCATCATCATCCAGACATCTTTGGTCCGGGAATGACAACTAGTTCTGCGAAACCAGAAAAATGTAGAGTGAAGAAAATGGCTCACAACTCTTGAGCTGCATGGTCAGGTTTGGTTTAATCCGGCTGGTTCGGTTCATTTGGCTGGGTAAAAACATGCCGGTTAGGAGTTTCGTTTTTGTTTTTGATTTCCAGATTTTCAGCAAATAGATTTAATTGTTTGTTTTTGCGAGGATGCAAAAGCAATAGCAAAGGGAGGGAGGGTTTGTATGTTGACTGACATCTGTATTTTTTTTTCTTCCCCACCAAGAACAACAAGTTTATTTTTTTTGTTAATGAAGTTAGTGTTGCCTAATTTTGTGTTAGTATTATGGATGGTGTAACTGCTTTTATAATATACATATATATGTATAAAGTATGCTTTTGCAAGGCTGCATAAGCTTTTCATTTATATTCTAGTGAAGTTAGTAGTTACCTAATTCTAATTCTATAGTCTCTGTTTTAGTTTATAAAGTGTCAAGTTAGGTTCTATGGAATAATTTTTTTTTCGCATTTGGTATGGTTGTTTAGTGTTGGGTTGTCTAAATTTATCTAAAATTGAGAGACTCATTCGCTCTTGAATGAAAGAAAATATCATCAAGTAATAAATGTTTTTACATTTGGACACCTTAAATTCTTTTGATTGTTTTGAAGAGATGATGATAGCTGAAGATTAAGGTTCGAGTTCATTCCTGTTGATTTAGTTCAGTTACTTTTCTTAATAGGCCGATTTTGCGAACACTATCCACAACTCTTTTTTTCCGGAAGAAGACACTATCCGTTTAACTAAACCAGCATAATGAATTAATGATCATGAGTTCGTGTTCTGGCGGGTGAACCGTTAAAGCACGATGTCTTCGTTTAACACGACAGTCCAACTGTAACCCGACAATAGTCCATACGGTGACACGTGATATCCTTTTCTTTTTCATTTTTGGTCTAAGACACGTGATATCCTTTTGTATTAACATGCAAATCAACCGCGGAATAACTGTGGTATGGTACTAATAATATATATATCAATTTAATGTTTTAGAAGCTTCTTTATACATTTGAAAACTCTCACCAGTTTCACTAATTTCAGTTATAAGGAATGATGTAGATTTTTTGCATCCTATTAAAACACCAACTAAATTGAGAAAAATAGTTTTCGCTATTTCTTTTTTTTTTTTCAAAAAATAGTTTGTAGAATAAAAATGAACTCTTTTAAAAGAGAAAGTTTGACTAATTAAAAATATAAACACTTAAAGTTCTAAATCATACATGTCGAAAAACATTAAATAAAAATATTCTCTCATATATAAAAATGATATATTTAAAAATTCCTTTAGCTATAAAAGATTTAACGCTACCAAAAATACATTTCAGTAAAAAAACACTATCAATAAATATGTCAATTATATATCAAAAATTTTGTAATGTTAATTTACATTGAAAACAATTTTAGAAAGTATGTAATATTTATCCTTTGTAAATTATATTATAAACATACAACATTATTAATCATAAAATACGTCATACACCGCGCATAACGCAGACAAACCACTAGTATATACTATTACATAGAACTCTTTGTTACTATTAAAATACCGTGCAATTTGTAAAGATTGGAAATCTTAAATTTGCAATTAGAATTGAACCTGCGTGCGCGAGTATAAATTATTTTTAAAATATACAAACATATTTTATATTAATTTTGGTTTTTTTCTTTCTACTATTAGTTTGAAAATTTTATATTCAGTGATTTTTTTTGATGAAATTTTATTATTAATATATTACCCTGTTATTTTTTGTTTGATTATTTAAAAATGTAAGAGTATATTAATATTTTTAAAAACATTAGTTTTATATGAATTCTTATTCATTTTATCAGAATTTTTGTTTGAATTTTTTATTAATTAATATTTATATATGACTGAATTAATATTTAAAATATTATTTACTTAATGTATTATACTTGTAATGTTTTAATTACTACCACAAAAAAATCATACATAAAATACTACATATAAATAAATCATTGTTTATTTTGTTTTATATAAAAAAATATAAAAAAATTAACAAATTTGGATATATTATTTACTCCAAATTAATATCTAAACCCCCATAAAATCTGTCAGGTCTTAAAAAGAATTTTCTAAATTTTTTATTTAAATATTAATATTTATTTAGATTTATTCCGAAATTAATATATAAATATATTTAGATTAGTTTATTAAGTTATTAATTGAATGGTCCAACTATAACTCTTATATAGTTGATTTTTAGAGTGGTTCTATTTTAATAGAGTTGATTTGCTAACGAGTGCATCGCAGTCTTTTTTTTTTTTTTCCTTTTGGTTCAGTCATAGACTAAAAAAATGTAGAAGGTAATGTAGGCTAGTAGAGGTGTAGTGGTCTAAGTTAAACCACCTTGACCAGACATTTTGGCCCCTGATTTGCAATCTTCATTTGATCTATAATTAAATAAAAATGTGATAAAAATAATAAAAAATATTAAAATAAAAAAGTATATATGGGGTTCTGACTTTCTAAGTAGGTGTTTAGAAAAAAACGATGAGACACTTATATATGATTAGACATGCGTGTGTTTTTAGCTGTAAGTTGTAATTCTATAAAAAAATATTTACAATCTTTCAACTGCAATTACTAAGAAAATAAATTGAAGTCACATAAGTACAAAATAAAATAATTGCGCACAGTGATGTGTTTATAAATAAATGTAAATTTATCCCAATTCAACGAATGTGAAAAATCAACTAGTTAAAAATACAATTATTCTCACTTATGATTAACAAAATGTTTTAAATAATTATGTACTCATGAATTTATCATTCTGTGTAATACATGATTACATTATTTATTTTAATTATTAATTTAAATATCAATTTCCAATTGTTACAACATATATTTAACCACATGTCTAATATCTTAACAAATATCAATTTTATCTTATTATATGGTTTGAAACATAAAACTAGATCACATATAATTGGTCAAGTTTTATCTTTACTAAAATTTATATACATAAGAGTAGCTTTTTTTTTTCTGAACCAATACATAAGATTAGCTTTAAAGTCACATTCATGATATTAGAAAAATCGCATATAATTAATATGTACAGTAAAACGTCTATAAATTAACAATATTGAGATGTTAAAATTTATTAATTTATAAAGATATTAATTTACAAAGTTTCTTTATTTAGATTTTTTAAGATATATTTATTCTTTATGGGCAAAAAATATATTTATTCTAAGATAAGCAAAATATTTAATTTTAATGTATAGAAATTAATTATTATTTTTTGAAATTTGAGATTTATATTATATTATTTGGCGTACATAATATATATTACATATAATTTAATATGATTTATATATATTTTTGATAAAATATATTAAGTGTTAAGAAAATATAAAAATAATTCTATTATCAATATAAAACAAATAGTATAATGATAGCTTCTTACTTTTATAAAATATATATACATAGATATTATTAATTTATAATTTTATTGGGACCATTTATTTATATAGATTTTGTATACAAAATTATCTTATTACTTTATTGATTTGTGTTAAATTTGAACCAATCCAAATTAGAATCAACAAAATTTATTAACTTATAGAGATTATTAATTTATCGAATATTAATTTATACAGATTATACTGTATATAGAAAATTGTTTAACCAAAAATGATATTTGTAATAATGTGAATATGACGTTTCACATAGAGCTTTGAAAGAATAGTTTAATAAGCTTAGAGTGTAAAAGGGAAAAGCTTGCAACTTTTAAGTCAAAGAAGCAATGGATAGGAACAAAAGAATTTTGGATTTTCCTATTTTATATAAACAACCAAAAGTAAATAGTAATTTATTAAAACTAAAAATAGTTTTTTTTTTTGGTTTCTTTCTGAATTTATTAATTACTGATTAACCCTTTCTAATGGACCAAAGAGTTACATAAGTAAAGAAGGAGAGAAGAAATTAAAAGAAAAACGAAAATATAGGAAAAAAACAAAAACAAAGGACAGATAAAAGAGGAGGATTTATGATTTCTTTATGCGTAATTTTATTTCTCCAAATCTGCTAAATCATGGCTTTATGCGTTCTCACATATCCAACTCTATAAGATACATTTCTTCTCTTAGATATTTTCTTTAGTTTTTCCTCGGGGAATCTTATTCTTTGCATTCGCTGTGCACTCTCCAGCTTCTGCAAGTGAATGCTTCTTTTGTTGGTCGAGTAATCTCTACCGCTTTGGGGGCAAAAGGGCTTCTGATTTGATTAATCTCCCGTCAAAATGGTACTCTTATTCTTTGGTTCGATTACAAAGTTTTGATCTTTTTCATTTCCAAGGCAAAATGAATGTACTTTGTTTTATATATTTGGTTTCAATGTACTTTGCTTCTTCTGGGTTTCGTTCAACTGTCTGCTCTGTTGTTACCTGGAAAAGTGATTGTGCTGTGCAGTGATGAACATAATCATCGTAAAGGGTTTCTCATGTTTAAGGTTTTATCATTGGTTGCTTTCAGGGTGATTATTATATTACTCAGATTTTTTTTTTTTGGGTGTGTGGGGTCTAGTTCTTGGGGGTTAACCCTCTAAACTAGACTATTGAATGCTGTTTGTGTCTTCACTTTTCGTAAATTAAATGTTTTTTCTTGCTTCTTTCAGGCTTCTTCTACAGTTAAAGCTGGCTCGTTCGTTTGGGTTAAAGATTTGGAGGAGGCATGGTTAGATGGTGAAGTTATTGAGGTTAATGGAGATGATATTAAGGTCCAATGTACCTCAGGGAAGACGGTATGTAGATACACTTTGACTATGTTTAAGGATGGAATCTGTATATGTTGATGGGCTTGCTTCTCACTTGTGTTTGATCTTTTTTCAGGTTGTTGTCAAAGTTTCAGAAACACATCCGAAAGATATGGAAGTTCCACCTTCTGGAGTGACTGACATGACAACGCTAGCATATCTACATGAACCAGGGGTCCTGCAAAATTT